CCCCAAAACCCCAAAACCCCAAAACCCCAAAACCCCATAGAGAATAATTAAGGAAAATAATGGAAATTAAATTTATTTAAATGCATAAATTAATAGATCTTAGTACTAATTTATATTTTCTTATTAATGCTTTAAATATATTATCTTTCAAGAATAAATTATTTTTGTCAAACCTTTATTTGAATTCACTATTCTAAGTTTTTAATCTAGTTTAACTTAATTCTACAGCTAAGATTTATAAAGTTTACTAGATCAACCCTTCTAATTTTTTCATTTATATATTTCGGCTGACTAATGATCAGTCTATTCTTCACATAGTATAGTTTTGATTTCTATAATTTAATCGTAAATCCTTAATATCATAGCGTCTGTCTCAAACCTTCATCATTGACTGATTTTAATATATTTAAATAATCTCAAAAATTTTGCAATTAGCTTATTTAAAATTTAGAAGTAACCGAATACATATCCAAAAATTATCAAATAATTTATCTATTTATAGTTCAAGCAAACGTAATATAGTAAATAAAAATACTTGCCAAAGATGGATAAAGTTACTAAAGAAGCATTACTCGATAAGAATGTTAGTGATCAAATAGATAATTAAATTTTTGCTTAATAGATTGAAGTAAATCAAAAAGGAGACTTCTATCAAAATAATGATGATTTCCCTCCTCCTCCTTAAGATGATTAATTGCAGATCCATAAAAAATAAGAAGATAAATAATTGACTATTCCAGAAATAATGGAATAAGCTTCAGCGCTTGAGCAACATTAAGTCTAGGAATTTCCTTATAATTCCAAAACCTATAAAGCTTAGATCGGAAGAGACTCCAATCTAGTGTATGTTCCTTAAAATCTAAATCTGATTTAATTTTGGTCCTTGAATGGCCGCAAGGAAGTTAATAAAATTGAAATCGAAGAGAAAATTAATCAAATATAAGTTACAGACTATTTCATTATTGCTTTAGTCATTGATAAAGATGATAAAGCATATTTTATATACGATGCTTTCTCCTTGAAATATCTAGGTAAAGCAGTATCTGCGCATAAAACAATGATAGAAGCCAAATCTACTAAGGACCTCATTATAATATCAGACTTTTAAGGTATTATAAATACCATTAATATCAATAACAAATCTAAAATCACCTAGTAAATTTTTTAAAATGAAGATGAGAATGCGACTGAACAATATAATTGCATTTCAATATCAACTGATAGTAAAATGTTCACAGCATTTGAAAAAAAATCAAATTCAATAGCTGTGTTTAGCGTAAATCCATTAATATAAGTTTGGAAAAAAGAGATGCCGAAGCCTGAAATAAATGAAGATGTATCTAAATACATTATAATTTCTAACGACAATCTTTATGTTGCATTAAGAAATTCGGTCAGGAAAGGAGTAGATTACTATTCAATGACTGATTCAACAATTATACTAAGCATTGAATCAATGCATGTCAACCCTATTAACCAGATTTTATATTGGAATAATGGAAAATCAATAATATCTTGTAGCAAAGATAAGAAAATTAAAATATGGAGTATGACAAGTAGAGAGCTCGAGCATTCTTTTCCACCTTAACATTTAGCTTCTGTAGAGTCCATAGTACTTTCTTAGAACTAAAAAGTTCTTTTCTCAGGCTCCCTTGATTAAACAGTTGGAGTTTGGTGCTTGTAAAACTTTCAGCTTCTCGCTATTTTGAATGCTACTATCAAGATAGTTTAACTGAATTTCTCAGACGATTAGAGTTTTTTGATTTCAAGGAATGACGAAAATGATAAAATTCAATATTGGAGATTAGAAGATAACTCATAATCAATAAAGTTAGCTATTGATACTTCTTCATTAAATGAATGCATTGTGACACCCAATGGAGTTTACGTTGTGACTACAAATCTTAATACAATGGGAATGGAAATCTGGAACACTCATACCAAGTCATGCGTCACAAAATTTTAATATGCACAAGGAAGGCAAAGAGCCGTTAATTGCACTCATTCCTCATCATACATATTTTTCTAAAGAGAATCAGGTGAAATGATAAGGTGGTCTACTAGAACTGAATCTGATTCAGGTGTTTACAGCCATGCAGACGATATCATTGATATTGTCATAGACTAAGCTGATTAATTCATATATACTTTAGGATATCAAAAAGGAAAATTTTATAAATGGGATTTAGAATCAATGACATAGCTAACTGTCATTGATCTTGGAAAAGGCTATGAAGGATTAGTAATATCTCATGATGATAGATTTATAATTGCTTCAGACTATGGCAAAAAGAGGTTAACTAATATCAATTTAAAAACTGACGAGATTATCTCTATTCAAGATAAGCTGCCATATAATCCAGCAACACTAACAATCACCCTTGATAGTAAGTTCGTTGCTCTTTGCCAAGGAAATTACAGTCCAAAATTATATGTTCTACATCTTGAAACTCTAGAAGTTTTTAAGATTCTTGAGGAGCACAAATAAAGTACTGTATGGTTTATTGCTCCTACTCTTGATGGTAGATACCTTATTTCTAGAAACTCATAAGAGACGATCATTTGGGATGCTTAAACTTTTCATTGCATTTTATTTGTAGAAGAAAAGTTCATTTTACTTCTTTCAGAGCATAGAGTTATGAGAGCATTTCTGCATGATAGTTTTTTTAAAATATGGTCTTCTAAAACAGCAGCTTAACTTTCAGATGATTTCCCTCCAGTTGAGGAAACTGCAGGAGGAGAAAGTGAAGATTCTAAAATGCAACTTAAAATCAGCGGGCCTATGAACACTATTACTCCTCTAATTATTAAAAACATGATAAAAGCTGTAAAAAGTGAATAAAAGCAATTTGTTACTGCTCTTAAGGAGAATTTTATTCTTCCTTAAAAAATAAACATTTTGCATTATTTTGCCTTCTTTAACAATCCTGAAAGTCTCACTCATTGCTTGGAATAAGGAACATAATATTCAAGAGATAGCACAGGTAAGAGTCCTCTAGAGTACTCTATTGAAAGAATGAGTTAAGAGGGAACAGACATTTTACTGGGTTTCATCATGAAGAGAGAAAATGTCTACTAAAAGATGAAGGAAAGTGAACTTATTTAGCTTGTTGATTTTAGTCCAAGTAATCTCCTAAATTTTTTTGAGAAGTCTGTAATGATTGAAGAAAAGAATGTCCCTCCTTATGGAACTATTAATGGAGATAGCTGTAATTTCATACTGACAAAGGGGCCCATTCTAGAAGCACATGATTGTGAACTCATGATGGATTAGTCTGCAAATTAATAGCAATAAAAGCCTTTGCTTTTTAAATCTCTTTAAATCTAGTATAATTTGGAACCTGGGTCTGTTAGCAGTATTGAACTTCATTAAAGCTTGTAAGATACCGCTTCATAGGAGATTTTTACTTCAGAGGCTGTCAATAGAATATTGCAGTACAAATGGGAAAAAGTTAAAAAATATGCCTATTCATAAGCAATCATCTATTTTGCTTTCGTGATTTTGATAATATACCACTCGATTTATAGCAAAAGTAGTTTTGCCTGCATTATTTTGATACTAGCCTTTGGAGCTTATTTCTTGATTTGGGAAGGATTCCAAGTCATCTTGAACTATAGAGCATATGTTGGTGAAATTTGGAATGTCTTGGATCTTGGAAGAGTGGCTCTGATCGCTTGGTATTGCTTCACTGCTCTCAAGAATCTTTCGGATGACAAGAATGCCTTAGATGAAGATAATAAGATCGTCCTAGGAGGTCTTAACATTCTTGTTTTCTTAAGGATTCTATCTTACTTCAGACTGAATCAAAGTTCAAGAGTATTGATTAGACTCATAATTGAAGTTTGCAAAGATATGTTGTCTTTCACTCTTCTGTTGATGCTAAGCGTTCTTGGATTCGCAATTACATTCAACATTATTGAGTCTGGACATGGCCATGAACTACCCTTAGGTTCAAACCTTGGCCAATATTACAAATTAATCTTTGGAGATTTTGCAATACTTGAAGATGATGCATCAAATTCATCTTGGTTTGTGTTTATTTTCAGCAGCTCATTTATCACCCTGATTATGATGAACTTGCTGATTGCTATAATGTCAGATACCTACGATAGAGTTATGACTGATATAACCGCAACAGACGGATGGGAACTTAACTAAATGATTCTAGAGCAAGAGAGTTTGATGTTCTGGAAGAGAAATAAAGGCCAGCCAATGTACCTTCATTGGGTAACATACACAGGGGTTGAGCCTGAATCCTTATGGGAAGGCAGAATTGCTGCTATCAACCAAAGTATTAAAGACTAACAAGGGCCTTTGATTGATGAGATCAGAGCTATTTCCAGCAAAATCGACATTCTTCAGACTCAGTTTTCGACTCATTCAAGAGATGTTTACATGAGATTTGAGGAGCACAGAAAGAAATTGGAGAAAATTAGAGTTTCAAATAATCAGCCTGCTCTTGCTGCTTAAAAAATTAATGAATGAAAGAGAAAGTTCAAACATTGATTAGATGATTTACAAAACTAAAAATTACTTAATACCACACAATTTTAACGATCGGGGTTTTGGGGTTTTGGGGTTTTGGGG